TCTCTCAACTGTATCACTAGCTCTTAGTTTCTCATTATATCACTTAGCACAAAATGCTCCTTAACTGACAGTTGATCGATAAGTAATTAATATTAATTACTTATCTTTTAATTAATATCTTTTACTTTTCTGCATTATTGCATGAGCCTGTAGCCGTCAGAATTTGTTCCATTTAGTTTTATCTATGCCCTCACGTTAGAAAATTAAGCATTATTATTTTCATAAACAGCTATGTAGCATCACTTCTGAATCATTTTCTTGTTGACTAAATAACTATACAGAGGTGCTAAATGGCATAGTCACTGACATTTTTTTAAAAAAACATTGGCCACCAACTAATACTGCAACTTGACAGATGTCTGCCTGCCCATCTCAGACATCAAGTTTGAAATAAAGAATAGGCATCATGACAACTAATTAGTTGTCAGACTTTGAATTTGCTCAAGACAAATACCTTTATGCACCACACACACACACACACACACACAGGCTGGTATAAAAATTAACTATGAAAAGACTTATTGGCTAGACTTATTTAATTAGTGTATATTTGTTACATTATCTGAGCTTGTACTGTACTTCAAAGATACAGGCAAGATGAGGACTAGAGGGAGGGAATGGAGCAATACCCTCAGGTTCTGAATTTAAGAGGCTACCAAATAACTCAAGAGTCCATCAGCAAATATAACTTCCTCATGTAATACTTTTAAAAATAAAAATTAACCCCAAAAACTTCACGAGAAATAAATATCAAAACTTTAAATAAAAATCAAAAAGGATCTACAGCCTGTCATGTTAATGAACATTTGACTACAAGGTTTAAAAAGTAGACGGGAAAGGTGAAAATCCTTCTGTTTTCTTGTTTGGTTTAAGGATAAAAATGGCTCCAACCTTAATATCTCCAGCTCATATGGTCATTGGTTCAATAATACAGTATTTTGGTCCAAATAGGAATTTCAGTGAATAGTAACCTTTTATTTCCTGTCATCTATATTTACCAAATGTAACTTAATTTAAATATAATTATCTTAACTATGAATCAGCTTACAGTGCCATATTACTTGAAAAACCAGAAGATTTAAAAAGAAATCATCTATAATTTCAATTTGCTATATTTGTGGCATATTTCCATGATTCAGGGTTATCTCATTGGCTTCTGATTCTCTTAAGTACAGGCGTACTGCCAATTACAAGGAAATTTTCCTGTAATATTTTAAAATATGAGAACTTTCATAGAATATAAAAAAAGGGATGGGTTCTTGAGTCAATATTTCCCTTTAGATTTACCTTATTCATAACATAGAAATAATTTATTCATTCAGGGAACTGATTCCATTCTATATGGAATTATCATCACACTCCTTATTCTCCTAAGCAGTAAAATTCCGTAAGAGAATTGCCTGTACTTGATGTTGTTTCAAATTTCTGTCTTCCCACTATCTTACATTTTTTATCATTAAATGATTTTAAATTTATGTAATTTTTTAAGGATCAAACAAATCATGTATATTTTTTCATAAGCATCATTGTTGTATTTTGCAATATTTGCCTTACTGCTGCTGATTCTTGTCTTAACCACTTGAGAATTTGTTGTATACTTCATGTCCCTTTATCTCTAAATGTTTCAGCCTGTATTTCTTATCGAACAAGGGCATTCTCGAGTGTAATCCCACTATTATGTTCAAGAAATTTGTAAATCATCTCATACTTAGGTCCATATCCAAATTTCAGAAATTATCCCAATATTGTTATTTATGGAAATTTTTCTCTGGACCCAGGGTCCATTTGAGGATCAGGCACTAGACCTAGGGTAATATCTCTGGGAGCTGTTATGATGAAATAATTCCTGATGCTGTCATTATGCTTCATGACGTTGACATTTTTTTAAGAGCACAAGCTGATTGTTTCATAGCATGTTCTTCAAGCTGGGTTTTTTGATGTTTCCTCATTATTGAGTCAGATGTGCATTTTGGGGTAGGGAGCATTGCAATTCATGACCTACACCAGAAAGTGCAAAATGTCAGTTTTTCTCTCCCATGAGTATTGAATGCCAGTGAAGACAGTGCACCCTGTATTTTTATCACTAACAACTGTCCATTTTTTTTCATTCCTCTCCCACTAAATCATCTGCAGAGAAATGCTTTGAAATTATGTAATTATCCTTGCAGCCTTTTAAGTTTTCCTTTATAATTTTAGTATCCATTAAGCATTCTGGCATGACTTTGTTATTACTGTGATGAATGCAAAATGATAATGTCCCAACTATATTATTTCTTTTATATGCATTCGTTGGCATGTTCTACAGAGAACAGCTTCCTTTCTAATGTATTTACTCACTTGCATATATGATATGGATTCATCAATTTCTATTTCAGTCCATTATTTGTTCTGAAGCTCAAATTTCCCCATACTTGTTCAGAAGGACTCCTTAAAAGTTATCTCCCAGGCTGGGGATTTGGCTCAGTGGCACTGCGTCAGCCTCATAATCGCAAGGTTCTGAGTTTGATCCTTAGTACAAAAAAAAAGAAAAAAGAAAGAAAGAAAAAGAAAAAGTTGTCTCCTCCATCATTTTTAAATGAGTTTATCATTTTTCAAATGCTCCTTTGTTTTCTGGCCAAACAAGATGTTACAATTCATCTCATACCTTCCTGTCCCAGTCCTAGAATTGGCCAGCCATGTCACCAACATAATCTGATTCCTTTTAGCCAAAAAATTGTACTTGAAAACCAAAACTAGGGTGATAGACGCGCTCATTGCTTTCAGAGTGACATTGCTTGTAGACATATAATAAAATGTGCCCTTGCAAAGTACGTAGTTCCTGGTCAATTGGAGTCTTCACCATGCCTGAGATTCTTGAGATCATACCTTCCTCCGTGCTACACTTCCTCACTAGGGTTCCAAGAAAAGATGTTTTCTTCATATGATGATCCTTTTTTGGCTCCGCTAATTTCTCTGCTCTTCTCCATGCCGCTGCCTCCTCCTCCTCCTTCCTCCTTCCTCCTTCCTCCTCTTCCTCTTCCTCTTCCTCTTCTTCTTTTTCTTCTTCTTCCTCCTCCTCCTCCTCCTCCTCCTCTTCTTCTCCTTCTTCTCCTTCTTCTCCTTCTTCTCCTTCTTCTCCTTCTTCTCCTTCTTCTCCTTCTTCTCCTTCTTCTCCTTCTTCTCCTTCTTCTTCTTCTTCTTCTTCTTCTTCTTCTTCTTCTTCTTCTTCTTCTTCTTCTTCTTCTTCTTCTCCTCCCTCCTCTCCCTCCCTCCTTCTCTCTCTCTCTCCCTCCCTCCCTCTCCCCTTTCTCCTTTTCTCCTCTCCACCCACATGGAAACTGCTGTTGCTCCCACACGCCAGGACCTGATTGCTCTGTGTAGAAAGGGTTTCCCCAGATTCCAGCCAACCCCATCTCCTTCAAGTTTTCATCAAATTGTACCCTCTCCTAAACCATTGCTGACTACCGCCCTCCCACACAGAACCTCTGATCCCATTTTCTGCTTTATTGTCCCCCCACTATATTTATCACCTTCCAATAGGTTTTATAATTTATTCATTTATTTGTGTGTTATACAGTGTCTTTCTCTTTCAAAATGTAAGCTTCGTGAGGGAAGAGATATCGGTTTTTCTAGATAGATACTGCAGTATCTAGAACTTACTGAAGCATCTAGAAGTGTGCCTGTTCCAAAGGTAGCGTTCATTTTTTTAAATAAGTGAATAAATAATTTTATCCTTACTTTGATTTAATAAAATCACACAAATGAGAACCCACCAGCAGAATGGAGTCCATATATACCATTTTTACTGTTGAAGTGTGCTTAAACACTTCGGTTATACTCTACTTACCTCCCTATCTTTTTTTATTCACTTTTCATGGATGAAATCTAGAGCCACTTTAAAATAAAAATAATTTTAATCAGGCACCATTTCCAGAGAACGGTAGGTCTTGCCAGTCCTAAATTGTGCATTTGCATGCATAATACCACCGAAGTACTGAAAGATGCTAGTCATTCACTGCCATCAAGAGTGCCCATTGTTTCCGCTGCTGCTGGCATTAGTTGTGATTTTGAGTTCCAAAGGGGAAAGGGGGAGATGGGAGAAGCTATGACAGAAACCAAAATTTACTGTACATTTCTCTACTCGATTCTTAAATTATTTCTATGTTCAAAACTGGCAGCAGATATCACCTACGTGGCCCTAGAGTGACTCACAAAACTCCGGCTGAGATAAGACATACCTTGACAGACATTCAAATAATATGCCTGGCATATTTCGGGACAACCACCACGATGTCACAGTCAAGTTGATGCGAGTACTAAAATATACAAGAGAATGTGCTCTCTTAGAAAGCAAGCATCCTGTCTATGGCCATACCACCCTGAACATGCCTAATCTTGGAAGCTAAGCAGGGTTGGGCCTGGTTAGTACTTAGATGAGAGAAAGCAAGCATCCTAGCCAGTCTGCTTCTTGTTAGGAAACATTCTCCTCACAGCTCTTCCAATTCAGGGGAAAGAGTTCATCAGCGTGGAGAGAGTGTGGACTGAGAACTTGACCTAAATTTTTGAGTCTCGGTTCCAATACAACAGGGGAAAAAAATACTCATTTCAAATGCATGCAGAAGTGTGTAGATCTCACATTCCAGCAAAAATAAATAAGTAAATAAAAGAAATTGTAATCTATATATTCCATCCTTCTAAAAATACATTCATGGGCCTGGCATTTAGCTCAGCAGTTTGGTGGCCTGCCTCACAAGTGCAAGAACCCGAGTTCAACACCCAGTACCAAAAAAAAAAATGCTTTCATAAATATCTTGACATTCTAATAAATGCCATATAAAAAATAAAATTTGTGTTTTAGAAGAACTCCAATGTAGTATTAGAATATATTTAACTCATTAGCCCTCAAAGTATTGAGAGCATTTTTTAAATTTCCCTCCTTTGAATACATCATTGTTTACACTGTGGATAAAATAAGCTCCCTTTTAAATATTTCAACTTCTGCATTTGGTTACTTCCCGCAGATACAACACACTCAGGGGAAATCGGCACCAAGAAAAAGGTGAAAAGACTGTTAAGTTTCCAAAGATACTTCCATGCCTCACGGCTGCTACGTGGCATTATACCACAAGCCCCTCTCCACCTGCTGGATGAAGATTACCTTGGACAGGCCAGGGTAAGCCAGTCTCCCCTCTGCATCCCTGCAGTAGCCAAGTGGCCCAGAGCCTGTCCTCAGCTGACAACACCTGGGTCTGAGTACTGCTTTGCTTCGAGGAGCTCTGTGACTCTGGGTTAATTACTCAACACATCTGGACTTTTTCCTCAAATATAGCCATTTGAAAAGAAGTGCGTGCAGTTTTGGGAACTTTAGATAAGTTAGTTTCTACAACTGTGGCTTTTGTGTCAACATCCAATTCTAAGCATGGAATATTTTTAAAAAGAAAAGAATAATGATAAATATTCATTGGACAATAAGCCTTTAAATTATCTAATATTGTTGATTACGTACTCTTCAGTTTCCTATACAGTGGTTCATTCCTCATTCAGGCCACCTAGTAGAATAACGTGTTCAGCAATCGTTCTCTCCTCATGATCCTTCAATGTACAGTAGTTTGTGGCGTAGAAACTTTACTGAACCACAGTTTAGCAGACACCAACACGCGGGCTCCCTGTGAATGAGCACCACACCAAGCACTTTACAGTGTTTCTATAGCGGATCCTCGGAGTCCATAGCATTAGCCACATTTTTCAAATGAAGAAACTGGGGCACAGAGAAGTTAAGGGTTGTAGCCAAGTTCCCACCATCAGGAAGAGACACAGGTAACAACAGTCAAGCAGTTAAAGTCCAGAGCTTGTCCCTTAAACTGTTGTTAGAGAGTGGAGTAAGACTTGATTTACTCCAAACCAGTTATACACAGAGAATAGTGTGTGTGCTATTTCCAACTTTTTAATTGTTTAATTCACTATGTCTCAAAGTAAATGTTTGGTTCTCGATGTGATTCATTTGGGTGCTATTTTTTGTTTGCCTTTTCAGCATATGCTCTCCAAAGTGGGAATGTGGGACTTTGACATTTTCTTGTTTGATCGCTTGACAAATGGTAAGTTACCCAAAAGAATTCTCACTCAAATACACACCATAAAGTGGGATTCATTTCACGAGAAACAAAATTTATTTTTAAACCTGTTAATCTTTTTTTCTTCTTTCCCCACTTTTATAAATCTATAGTCACTCGAGAAGGACCAGAGAAAGGGAAAAATGATTCAAATGACGAATGAGACTGAATTTAGCCTTAGAATCTTAGGATAGTTTCCTTCTGACCTTGATAATCCCAAAAGAATTAGGAAACCACAGATTAGAGTCTTTCTTTGAGAAAATACTTTGGCCACATCCAAAAGTAGGAAGTTCATTGTTAGCTGATGAAAACTGGAAACACAAAAGCATATCTCCTTGGTCCTGACTTACGGGCAGGCTACACAGTGTTTTAAAGGGCTCTGCGTCTGCCCTATTACAGGTAATGCTCACATACGTTTGCCAACATCCAAAAAAAAAAAAAAAAAAACACTGCTAAGAATAGAATGTAAAAGCCTAGGCTGCACCTGAAGAGGAAAGTAAACATTCCTATTGGTTTCGCTTTTTAAGTTTTGAAGCCCATAAAAGCCTTCCTTAAGAAAATAATGACATCTTAATATATTTTATCTGTCCATTAAACAAACGTGGAGAAGCTTAGGGAGCCAACAGATGATGTTAGACTTACTGCTGATGTTGGTATGTCTTATCACCTACCAAACTTGTACCTTAAGTCATTACCTATGGTTTTGTCATCATTCCATTATTCAGCAAACGATGTGCACTCAAGGTCATAGATGGATCTTTACACTATGGAAAGGCAACTGGACTGAAGGTGATGGATCCCATAACCTTGCATTTCACTCTGCTCAAATCAACTGAGAAATGGATACTGACAAATGAAATTAAACTGTTGACAAAAGAATTTGTCAACTAGTATTTGTTTAAAAGAGAATACAGTTATGATTGTAATCAAAATATGAAATGAAAATATATCAAAGATTCAATTAACTCAATTGATTAGCGATCTGGTGAGATGCTATCATTTGTACAAAAGGAGAATTCAAAGAACCCACACCTATGTGCAATAAGAAATGCTGAAATGAATAAGTAGGGGAAAAATCAAGAGTGGGAAATCAGCTGTATTTCTACCAGACCAATCTCATTAGTGAGTCTGTGGGCATGAATCACTTGTGATGCTACTCGTTATCTCTAACTTGAGAGTTGTGAAAGAATTCAAAGACAGTATAATTTGCAGAGACACATTAAACGAGGTACCCTGAGAGAGTGTGCCTAGGGAACTTCTGGTTTTCCATTCAAGACACCCAGCCTGGTCCATTCAAAGTCTTAAACTCTTTAGGGTTTTTAAAATTCAAAATCATTATTCTTAAATAAACACTAGCTCTTAAATGCTTACAAGTTATTACAACTTCAGGTTTGTAACTCCGCTGGTTTGCATTCTAAAATATCTCGTAGTCACCTGAGAGGAAGAAAAATAGGCTACAACTGTTAAGAAATACCGTGGTTTATGAATAGTTTCTCTAGTATGAGAAACGGAAAGTGTATGGGCCGGGGATTTAGCTATTCGCGGTACCAAAAAAAAAAAAAAAAAAAA